ACAACTGAAACAAGCTGAATGGGAAACAGTGAGATCCTTTTCTTTTTAACATCTTCCGGAGTCGGTCGCTGGCACCAACCTCAATGACGTAGTCCACGTCTATGATGCTGCAGTTGGAAATTGTGAGCGACGCCAACGTGGGAATAGGGAGCGCGAGCTCGGCGTGGACGTGCGAGGTGTGAGCACCGACGGGTCGGCCGCAGACGCGCGTCAAGTTTTTGACCACCGCTTTCTTGTTGAGCTTGTTGTTGTCGTAGCAAGTCTGTTTCTGCTGCAGCACCACCTTGGGAGTAGCAGTTCGAGATGAAGCGTTGCTAAAGTCGCAAATGACTTTCACGGCTTCACCTGGGGGGAGAAGGAACACGGTGTTCGGGATGGGTTTCCTTTCAGCAAACGTATTCAGGCTATCAGGTGGATTGATGGAACGGGTGGAAACAGTACCGGGGATGAAAGCTTTCTTCTCCACGCTGACTGTCATGGCGATGGGACCAGAGACACACCACAGGCAGCACAGAGTCATGCTGTTGGAGCCCGAAAGAGGAGCCTGCGGAGAAACCAGCCGGCAGATGAGGACCGTTGGAATGCTTCTGATTTTCCAATATTCTATTTTAGGTTTTATGAGGGTTTGATTTCCATTGTGGGACAATAGTGTCACACACTCCCCTCCATCTCAGAGGGAGGCTATGTACTTTTTACTCCACTTTATTGATCAGGCAACCTTAGTTACTCTACAGATTACAAACCTTTCTATCCAGCAGAACCACATATCTCCAAATTTGGTGACTTTTTAAATTGATAAACTAGGTATGTTATAATAAAACTAGAAAAGGCATTTCCTGCTGAAAATGCGTTGGAATGCAAAAAGCTGAAAGCTGCACTGAATATTTAAAAATAGCTGAAAATACAGAAAGTTGAAGGGAATTTGAATAAATTTGCTGAAATGAAAGATATTTGAAAAGCTGAAATTAATTTGAAGTTTCTGAAAATACAGAAATGGGAGAAGCTGAAAGGAATTTCAATAGATTTGCTGAAAAAGCAGAAATGAAAACAGCTGAAATAAATGTGAAATCTTGCAAAAAATAGCTAAAATGAATTTCAAAAACGGCTGAAAATACAGAAATCCGAAAATGTACAATGACAATTGACAATGACAATGTACCAGCAAGGTCAAAGATGAAATTAAGTTCAATTTCTGAAAATATTGAAATTTTCAATGGCTTTGCTGAATAAGTGTTAATGCCAAAAAGGGAAGACCAGCACAGCAGGAAAACATAATATTTTAATTTCAAAATTGGCAGTGTGGAAGATGAAGTGCAGCATTTAACAAAGCTAAGAGTTGAAATACAACACAAAAGAAGATCCCGTCTTTACATTCTTTTTTGACTCATTATCTTCTATCGAAATATAAAGAAATAATATAGATGAGTACAGTGCACAAGTACTGTTGTATTGGTCATAATTATTTTGTGAGTATTTCATGAAAGATAACATCTTAGAGTGAGAAATGTATCAACACAGTTTTGTGAACATTGGTCTCTGTGTTATTCATGAATAAATGTACTATAGTTTCAATAGTTAACAATATGGTTCATTTCCTACAATCAAAGGTTTTTCACATCGTTTCCAGACTTAGGTTAATACTCAGTTCAAGACTTCAAGGTCCAGGAGCCCTGGACAGATAAGTCTTGTCAACATTGTCGTTTAGACTATCCCAGCGTTAAACTCAGTTTACTGAGGCTCACAGACACACTGGGTTCTCCTTACTTTGATGGAACATTAGAGGTTAGAGTCACTTGTTGACTCAAGGTTAGGACCCAAGCTTTGTAGGATTTGTTTTCCTATTAAATCTTTTGACAAGGCTCTTTGCACCAAGTCATGTTTTAGCCATCTGAAGATGAAACACTTGATGGATTTCACATTCTTACAATTTAACACTGGGCAGTCTCAGTAGAGTTTAGGTTATCCTAAGGATCGGTGTACACATGTGAAAAACCTTGAATATACCTACCAGCTGAAACCCCATACTAATGACTCATTGTGATACAAATATGTCATTTCTTCAAGGTTAATTTGTTCATATGCACGAGGCAATCAAACAAACATTTTCATCCTTAATTTTCTCATAAATCTGACTGAAAAGGGACGGATGACAAATAAAAAAATAATAAATAAATAAATACAATCAACAAAAAAAATGCGATGAAACACAAGGAAAACGTATATTGTTAGATCAAATACGGTAGAGATGAAACAAACAAAATAGACAGGTGTCCTGTAGTAATACTGTTCATGAGTTAGTAGTGTATGCTTTGAAGACCTGTAACATTATGACCTTTGACCTGTGCAGCGGCTGTAGATCCACTGCTCCAGTCATCACGTCAGGATAGTGTTACTATAGCTACATGGAGGAGGAGAGGCCTTAAAGACAGAAACAGGAGAAATGTATTCATGTTGTTAAAAATGTAAACAGCACATGCTAGTAGTAAGACTACCAGGGGATTGTTTTGTTGTGGTCAGAGATATATTTTTAAAAAGATCTAATCTGTTGGGTGTTACCTTTACAGCTGGTTTAGGGAGGAGCTTGAAGCTGCATAAAGGTGGGGCTGTCACTGGGACAGTGATGACTGACTGATGACTCTTCCTTGCAGTCACACACCTGATCCTGACAAAAATAAAACAGGAAGTTATTGTTAGAAACTCAACTTTCTAAAAAGGTTTATAATTCACAGTAATGAAATACCTTGAACTCTGAGAGCAGTGCAGAGCAGATCAACATGTAGTACAGTGAAACTGAATACGCTGCATGTTCAGCTTCTTTTATGTGTTCAGCTCTCTCTGCAGTCCTGAGTGTCTTCACTGTGAAGTGGAGGAATCACAGAGGAGGAAGACCTGAAGGAAGAAGTGGATATAACATTAGAACGTTATATTGAATGTACAATTAGTGTTATTAAGAATATTGCTTTCATACAAAATGAATACGTGAATGATAACAAAATTAAAACAAAACATTAGAAATCACATATGAAATAAGAAAACAATACCATATTATCTGTTGTGAAGAAACCTCAACACTGGCAGGGAGAACACGTCTCTCTGTGGTCCAGCATGTGTCCACTGATGATGAACAGTTAATACGGTGCTTCAACATCTGCTCTGCTGCTGCAGTGGTGGCAGGATGTCCTGTTCGGTATGAGCTGATCCAGAATCTTCAGAGCCAGACAGGAAGTGAGGCGAAGACAGGCAGGTGTTTTCTCGTTCTTTTGTTTTGAAGAATGACCGGGACAAGGCAGGAAGTCAAATGTGTCCCTATGAGGTCTAACTGTGATGGGTCCTCGGTTGATTGA